AGCTCACAGCAACCTCCAACTCCTGGGCTCAGGCGAGTCTCCTGCCTCCACCTCCCAAGTAGCTGGGATCACAGGCACCCGCCACAACGTCCAGGTATTTTTTTTTTGGTTGCAGCCATCAAACCCACCACCTCAGGTGTACGTGGCTGGTGCCTTAGCCACTTGAGCCACAGGCATCGAGCCTTAACACTTAATATTAATGTTTAATTTTTAAACCCCAGGACAAAGTAAGAATAGCCACTACCACTGCTTCTATTCAAGGATATACTGAAGCTATTAGCCATTTCAATTAAGTAAGGAAAAAATAAAAGAACTGAAAACAAGAAAAAACTGCCACTGAATAATGTATACCATACCATTGCTTGTCCATAAAAACCAAGAGTATTTACAGGTAAGCAATTAGACCTCATAGAATTTTAGTAGGGTTGCTAGGCTGTAGATCAATGGACAACAGCCAGCAGGGTTCCCTATGTGGGGGCCATGTCACTGTTATAATGCCATTCACTGTTGTAACATCTAAACAACAACTTTATGAAGATTAATAAGCCTAAAAAGCACCTTCAGAAAGAAAATTATACAGTGTTATAAAAGGATGGTTCTTTCAACAGATACAACAGAGATAACCAGAGATGCACACACAAAAAGATGAATTTCAACCCTGACTTCACGCTACACACACGTTAATTCAAAAATGGATCCTGTTATGTCCTAAAACTATAAAACTTTTAGAAGAAAATCTTAATAACTTTGGTTAAACAGAGAGTTCTTAGATAAGACTGTGAAGGCACATTCCATTAAAGAAAAAATGGATCAACTGGACCTCATCAAAATTTAAAAGCTTCTGTGCTCCAAAAGACACTATAAAAAAATGAAAAGACAAGCCATAGGCTGGGAGAAAATATGTGCAAATAATATACCTGATAAAAGACTTGTGTTCAGGCTACATAAGGAATTCTTACAACTTGCCTGGTATGGTGGTTCATGTCTAAGATCCCAGCGCTCTGGGAGGCTGAGGCCAGAGGATTACTTGAGGTAAGAAGTTCAAGATCAGCCTGAACAAGAGTAAGACCCCATCTCTACTAAAAATAGAAAAATTAGCCAAGCATGGTAGCATGTGCCTGTAGTCCCAGCTACTTGGGAAGACCAGGCAGGAGAACTACTTGAGCCCAGAAATCTGAGGTTGCTGTAAGCTAGACTGAGGCCACAATACTCTAGCCCAGGCAACAAAGCAAGACTCAGAAAAAAAAAAAAATTTTTTTTTTAATTCCGTAAGAAGATAAACAACTCAGTTAAAAAACATAAAAACATGCAATAGATCTGACATCCAAGTATGGAAATAATTGCTACATTTTTAATAGTAGAACTTTAATGACAACTTATTCTGCTTAATTCCTTTCACTGGCTAGGACAGAAATATCACACCAGGGGGCCTGGCCCTAGGCCCTCACACCCTGAAGCTTGGGGCCAAAGTCTTTCCTCTCACTCTGTTCACAGCCTGGCCCAGCCAATGATTTTAACTGTCTTAAATTCACCTTCACATTCCTCATAGTCTCGTTAGATTGCTCTTATTTTAACCCTGCTCCTGCTTCCCCCCTCTCTGGGCCAGCTGGGCTCTCCTGCTTAGTGTCTCCTGACCCTCAAATAATCTAGTAATGAAATAAACTCTCCACAGCCTAATCTTCACATTCTTTACCTCATTCCTTTCCCTTCTACTCTCTTTCAGCCAATCTCAACTTATCACCACTAGAATTCCCATACTAAGCACCAGTTGCAGGTTCCAAATTTTGGGGTTTCCCATACCATAGCTACAGTAACAAAAAGACTAAAGTATGTGTGAGAGCCTCCAGCACCCCAGACACCAGGCACCAGAAACTTAAAGCAGAGTAAGGTGGTCCTCACCCTCCAGAAGCTCAGTCCGTATGGGGAGACAAACACGGACACACCCACACAACAGACACACATGTGAGGGGCAGGAGGATGGGCTGACCACCAGCAGCTATGACACGTCCAGGGAGCCCTGAGAAGGATGTTAACCCTGAGGGCTGAAAGGCAGGAGGTTTGGCAGGTAGAGTTTCTCAGATAACACTGTGTCCTCATTAGACTCTGAAGAATGAAAATGAGAAGACTGCCAGGGAAATAGAAAGAGGGGACATGGATTCCTGACAGGCATTAGTCTGTGCAATCAGTGCAATGTAGAAGGCAGGTGGATTGCTTGAGCTCAGGAGTTCAAGAACAGCTTGAGCCAAGAGTGAGACCCTCGTCTCTACTAAAAATAGAAAAACTAGCTGGGTGTTGTGGTGGCACCTGTAGTCCCAGCTACTTGGGCAGCTGAGGCAGGAGGATCGCTTGAGCCTAAGAGTTTGAGGTTGCTAAGATATGATGACACCACAGCACTCTACCCAGAGTGACAGTAAGAACTATCTCAAAAAAAAAAAGAGAGAGAAAGAAATCAGTCAGTGCAAACGCACAGAGAGCAAGCGTGGGGTGTTAGAGAAACTGAAGACATTCAGCCTCACGGAGTATCAAATACAAGACATGGGCAGGGAAGAGGTAGGAAGCCTACAAGTCCATTCAGGGAACCACGAGGCAGGGACGGTGAATCACAGAGCCGATGGCTATCAGAAACAGGTGACTGTCTCTGATCACAAAATAACAAACAACACAAAACTGACCAAATGGCTTTAGGATAATTAGAAGCAAAAAAATGATTTACACTGAGATGGAATTTCTACTCACTTGCTCAGGTTCAACATGACAGAACATGGATATTTTCTCTTTCACTGATGTGTCAAGAGGATTTGAGCACCTGCACACAACCTAGTGGGAAAGAAAACGAGATGGTTAGATACAAGCAACAAATCACAAAACTGGGGGATCTTCCTGATTGAAATTAAAACAGATATCACACTGTTAAAAGGAATGAAAATGTTAATTCTCAGCACAATGCACAGAACCCACAAAAATATCACTGCCTGTTTTCAAAAGTGAAATTCCCAAATCCCAAATTGGAAAAAATGGTTGTACAAATGAACAGACAGGTTAATGAATGACATAAGCTAACAAGAGTTTTCCTCTTTAATTAATGTCCACAGACAGGCAGGAAAAGGAGAGAGTAAGTGAAGGATGGAGAAGAAATAAGACATGCAGAACACAGGACCCCATGTGAGCGGGTAAGAACATCCTGCAACAGCAGCCCTGGTCCAAAGTACTAAACCTATCTCCTTCACCATCAATTATCATCAAAAGCATGCCGAAAAGACAAAGGCCTTCTCTGTCACGGAGGAGTGATTTGAAGCAGACATAAAAGATCACGCTGAAACCAGATAATTAGGAATTCTTACCAGGTCTGGGGAAAGCCCAAGCCCTCTAAGTTCTCGGACACTATTCTGGGTGGGTTTAGTCTTCTGTTCCCCTGTTGAACTTGGCTATTTTACAAAAGGAAAAACAAGTCAGTTTCTCTATGATAAAGTAATTTCAAATATGATTTTTCCCTGAACCCCTCTTAATAAGAAACATTACTTTTGGCAAAGTTACACAGGCATGTATTTTAGAGTCAAATAGTTACACATGGTTTATCCTAACTGACAGTGGTTCCCCACCCTCTCCCACTCTCCAAAAATCCAGAAACAATTGCTCATCTACTCTTTTAACTGATCCCTCTGGTATGCTTTATTGCTATTTCCTAACATTTTAGTTTGATGCATTTTCTATTGATTACCCGGTTAAATGATGATCCTGCCCTCTCTCATTCCCCTACAACACTAAACATTCTACTAGGGATGTCCAACTTGCAGCCCACGGCCACGGGTGGGTTATCTGAGGACTGTTTTTCTTATCTGTGGTGTCAGGTCTTGTGAAAATTATACATGGACTTTTTTTTTGCCCATCAACTTTCAATAAGTTTTGTATATTAATGTGTGGCCCAAGATAACTCTTCTTCCAATGTGCAGGCAGAAAAGAAAAAGGTTGGACAACCCTTAATACTTTTGAATATCTAAATACTGTTCCTTGGGAGGCCAATACTGGAGGACTGCTTGAGGCCAGGAGTATGAGACGAACCTGGGCACCACAGGGAGACCTTGTCTCTACAAAAGATTAAAAAAAAAAATAAAATAATTAGCTAGGTTTGGTGGTACACATCTGTAGTCCCAGCTACTTGGGAAACTGAGGCAGAAAGACTGCTTGAACTCAAGAGTTTAAGGCTGCGGTGAGCCATGATCATGCTACTGTACTCTAGCCTGAGTGACAGAGTGAGACTAAGACCCTGACTCTAAATTAAACAAACAAGCAAAAAAAACTTTGTTAATTTAACTTTATTATAATCATACTATTTTAAAAGATCAAGTGGAAAATTAAAAAATTCAAATCAGGGAAGATACAGTTAAAGATGGTAGACTGGCCATGGGCATCTGTTTTTACCACATGGTTGAAATAAAGTAAAGGGGTTCTTTTTAAAAACAAAATTTTACAAAGACAAATATTGTGGAGAAGTGAATAGTAACAAACTTTAGGAAGGGTCTCCCCGCTCTGTCCCCCAGGCTGGATCAGTGACATGATCACTTGCTATAGCCTCAAAATCCTGGACTCAAGAAATCCACCTACTTCAGCCTGCTAGTAGTAGTTGGGCCTATTTTTCTATGTTTTTGTACAGACAGGGTCTTGCTCTTGCCCAGGCTAGTCTCAAATTCCTGGCCCAGAAGTGGTGGGATGGGATTACAGGCCTGGTGAGCCACCATATCCCACTAAGAAGTTCTTTGTTCCCTGCTTCCTGCATGTCAAGTATTGAAAACTACTAAGATACAAGTGAAAATCAACATTTTCTTCCTCTGCAACTCTACTGAAATAAAACATCAACAAACGTCTTACCTGAGGAACAAGACTGACGTGGATATTACAAAAGTTCTCCTTCTTGACCTTGAACTGGAACTGGCGGAAGGCCTCAATAAAGGGCATGCTTTCTATATCTCCCACAGTTCCACCGAGCTAGAATGGAGTCATTTTAAAGGTTAAGCCCTAAACCTTTCTCTGGTGGTTTAACTTTCTAAAAACCGCGTCATCTTGACTCAGTGATCATTCACAGTGTGTGACACAGACTCTCTATAACGTCAGTTAGCAGTAATTAAATGTTTCTTTGTGCTCAAAGGTTACTTTTTTGGAAAGGTTCATTATTCCCCAAGGTTATTATGGATCTTTCCACATCATTTCAAGAAAAAGGTCAGGTACCAGGAATTTTATTTGCCTGAAAGTCACAAAACAAATTTAAATCATCTCAGTTAAGCAAAAGTAAACTTTTGTACTAAAAAACATCAGCTATAAGCGAACTGCTGGAAATTTTGAGACTCCTGTTATCAGAGGAACACTAAGCTCTAACTGCTAGGATCAGCATAGCAGGAGTACAGAAACTAAAACCAAATGACGTTCATTCAGAGACAAATGTTCCTGAAGAAGAAAGTAAAAGCCTATTGGCTGTCTCAAAGGATAGATGAAAATGTCTCATACCACTTTATTGGTACAAGTAGTACTATGTGAATCTATAAATGCTGGAAAAAAAAAAAAAGGAGTATCATTTGGACAAAATACCGCTTTCCGCCGTATGTCCATTCCCCACGACTACAACTACGCCCCTCACCTCCTGTTGTAGCATCCTGAACAGACAACGATAGGAAGGCCAAGGCTTCACTGGAAACTGTCTGTCAATGGCTAACTAAGGAGGTGAATAAGAACGCCTGTTCACACAGACAGACATCATACATACCTCAATAACACACACTTGAGGCTCTAGGCCATCTTCGTCCACAGGTATCAATGCCTGCCTCATCACCCACTCCTGGATGGCATCTGTGATGTGAGGGACAACTGGGAGAGAAAAGAAATATACAACTCGCACTTGTCCATCAGCACTGATTGAGGCAAATACACAGAAAGCAAACTATTGCACTCTTTGCCTGGACAGAATAGCAATGGGGTCATAAAAATACTTCTGAGGCCACCTTTAAATTGCCCTCAACAAATCCTTAGGCCCACATTCCCTGTAGCCTCCTTCCTAGATTTCTAAGATGTTGCTGGAAACCCTGCAAGAAAGTAAGGCCAAAAGTGGTCCCCTGTACCACATCAGAGCACGTCAGAGAGTCCACACACCAACACAACAGACCATGTGCCCACCCCTACTGCTCACAGCCGAGGCTGAAGGTGGACACCTCACACTTTGGGCACTTTTCCAAGAACAAGTGCCTGCCAGGACCCTGTTCCATGTTTCCAGTTTACCAACAGGTAGACGATCCACTGCAGAGACAGTACAATATAGCAGAATAGTCAGGGGCACAGCATCTGGGGTCAGGATGTCTGGATTCAAATCTCAGTTCCACCACACATTAGCTATCGATCTTTGGGTGAATTACTTCACTAGTCTTAAGCTTTGTTTTCTTCATCTGTTAAGTGAAGGCAGTAACTTCTACTTCACAAAGTTCTGGAAACTGTATGAGATAGCACCTGTGAAATGCTCAGCAGAGGGCGTACCATGTCGGTGCTCAACAAGCTCCAGCACTACTAAGCACCTTCTAAAAATCGTAGTTATTGGCTTGGCACCTGTAGCACAGTGGTTAGGGCGCCAGCCACATATATTGAGGCTGGCGGGTTTGAACCCAGCCCGAGCCAGCTAAATAACAATGACAACTGCAACAAAAAAATAGCTGGGCGTTGTGGCGGGCACCTGTAGTCCCAGCTACTTGGGAGGCTGAGGCAAGAGAATTGCTTAAGCCCAAGAGTTTGAGGTTGCTGTGAGCTGTGACAACACAACACTCTACCCAGGGTGACAGCTTAAGACTCTGTCTTTAAAAAAAAAAAAAAAAAAAATCGAGCTCAGGCAGCAAAGAGGTTAAACAGCTGTGCCTCATGCACAAGGATATTCACTATCTATTCCACATATAGCAGCCTGAGTGATTTTTTAAAATGCAAATCAGAGACCAGGTGAGGTGGCTCTGGGAGGCCAGGGCAGGAGGACTGCTTGAGCTCAGGAGTTCAGAGACCAGCCTGAGCAAGAGCCAAGACCCCACCTCCACAAAAAAATGGAAAAATTAGCCATTAGCTGGATATGGTGGGCACCTATAGTCCCAGGCACCTGAGAGGCTAAGGCAGGAGGATCACTTGAGCCCAGGATTAGAGGATGCAGTGAGCTATGATGACACCACTCTATGCTAACTCAATAAAAGAAAAAAAAGTGAATCAGAATTCATCACTCCCATGTTTAAACTTTTCAGTGGCTTCCCAGCACTCTGAGTAAAATCCAAACTCTATTGCCAGGTCAAACCCAGCTGTGGCCCACCTCACCTGCCTCTCTTACCACCCTCCTTGGTCACCGTACCTCAGCCACACCAGCCTCCCCTCGATTCCTTGACCAACCAAGCCTTTTGTGGCCCTGGGCCTGTGTACTTGCTGTAACCTCCTCTTTCCATCCTCCCTGTGACGGGCATCTCCTAGAAGTCTCCCTGACAATTTTGTCCAGACTGACTTGCCCCAGCCACTCTCTTTCCTCACATCTCTTAGCAGACATATCTTATCTTTTCATTGTTTATCTGTCCCACAGGGAACCTCCACGTGGACAGTGACCTCACTAGTCTTGTTAGTCACATGTTTTAACAGCACCAGCAAGGATCTGACTGCAGTGAGCATTCAATACATATTTGATGGATGATGAATAAATGAATGAAAATGCACTGGAGGCCTAGAACAATGGACTGAATGATCAAAATTATTTTAATTCTTAATGGACCTTTCTATGTGTCAGGAACTCAGGTAAACACTTTATTGACTGAGCTGCTTTAATTCTCCCAACAACCCACAGAAGTGGATGTCATTACCTTCACTTTATAGGAAAGGAAAGCACAACTCAAAGAGGTTAAGTCGTCGGCCCAAGTTCAGTAAGCTGGTAAGTGGCAGAACTTTTTAAAGCAGGAAAATACTTTTCTCCAATGAACACTTCTGCAAAACCCCAAAACAGCAAATAGGTGTAAGTAAGCTATGCTGGCGAAAGCATGTGAGGATCCAGAAACCCACTTCTCAGATTCCCCCAGCCCAGATGGCACGGATGAACAGCCTGAAGATCAGCAGATACAACAGATGTTCACTTCCTTATCATGTCTATACAGTCAGTCCCAGATGTCAGCCTACATGCCACCTGGCTTAACACTCTAATCTATCTAGATGTCTTCACCACTTCACACTCATTACTGAGTAAAAACAACAGCTCTCTGAACTCAAAACATGCTTGCTGTCTTGGCTGGACTGATATGCTCCTATTCTTCAAATTATTTTTTGAGTAAACAGCCATACAATCCAGAATTTTCAACTGAAGGCATATTTCAGTAACAATACCTTGACGGTTTCATGCTGTCTTTCTTATTCAAAAGAAATTAAACTGGTTAAGATTTTTTAACCTTAAAGGTAAATCCAGTGTTACCTTGGACAGTTTTACCCAGGTAATCTCCTTTGCGTTCCTTGTTTATGACATACTGGTATATCTTTCCAGTGGTGAGATTATTATCCTTGGTGAGGCGGATGTCAAGGAACCGCTCATAGTTACCCAGGTCAAGGTCTACTTCCCCACCATCATCCAGCACAAAAACCTCACCTGCAGTGAAGAGGAAAAGCATTTAGGTAAGTGAAAAATACATACACCATGACACAGCTTGGATCCTACAGTGTAAACATTCAGGCAGAACAAAGTCTACAATAACTTGATATGAAGCTGAGAAATTTATTTCTAGAAAACAATGACACTAAAAAAGAAAAATTACCTCCCAGTCTCCAAAAGGTTAACTTTGTACTTCTAGCCTATTGATAAGCTCATGCTTATTCAGGAAGAGTTATAAAATAGCATAAAATGGAAGGTGATGACAGCCTGAGGCTATGGATATTTAGGACTTTACAGTAATGGCATCTGCCCGTATGATTTATTATTATACAAGTCTTCTACTGGAGCATAATAAAAGTATAATTTGATTCAGAACTTGCAAGATATAAACATCAGCTTCTAAGGTATGCTTTAGTTCTAAACAAAGTCAAGAAACTGCACAAATTTCCCCCTATTCCTTTGTTTTGCATTCATTCCTTGAAACTTCATACTTGAAATTATGCCCAGAATGATTCATCCCTACTATCATAATAGGAGTCAAGCTCAAAAATGGGGGGGAAAATGTCTTATTTTCCTCCTCAGAGATAACCAATCCTCCCGTCAAGACATCTGTATTAAATATGCCAATGTAAGAATCTTTTCTTGACACTGTTACATGAGGACTTTTGCACTAGCTGACACTAATCCTTATAGATTTTTACCTCAGCATAATGATAGCATGAGCATGAACTTAAAAATTCAAGAGGGGTGGTGCCCGTGGCTCAAACGAGTAGGGCACCGGCCCCATGTACCGGAGATGGCAGGTTCAAACCCGGCCTCAGCCAAAAACTGCACAAAAAAAAAATCAAGAGGTATGTTTCTCCTTCCTTCTCCAAATGGTTTCAACTTTTCACTCACCTCAAAGATCCTTGTTTATATTATCCAGAGTATTAGCAAGCCAGAATCCCAAACTTACAGATCCTCTAAATCCAACATCTATCTGTTGTTTGGATCTCTATATAGTGGTCTTTTAGCCTCTGCTTCAACACCTCTACCAAAGATAACTTACAACTTCTTGGAGTCACCCCACTCTCAAAGGGTGCTTTCTGTTATAAAGGTCTTCCTTATATCAGACCAAAACCTATTTCTTTACAACTTCTTTCCACCTATTCCATTTCTAAAGATTAAAGTCTCGGCTCGGTGCCTGTGGCTCAAGTGGCTAAGGCACCAGCCACGTACACCCAAGGTGGCAGGTTCGAATCCGGCCCGGGCCCACCAAACAACAATGACGGCTGCAACCAAAAAATAGCCCAGCGTTGTGGCAGGCGCCTGTGGTCCCAGCTACTTGGGAGGCTGAAGCAGGAAACTCGCTTGAGCCCAGGAGCGGGAGGTTGCTGTGAGCTGTGATGCCA